GTCGCTATGAGTCAGTTCCGACTTGATGGCACCTGACAACAACAACAACAACTGTGTTAGGCAAGTTGCTGCACAAGACCTCTTTAAAGTGTGAAACAGCAAATATGTCAGCAGTTTGAGGACTAAGGAGTGCCTGACCCAAGCCATGGTATTTTCAATAGCTTCATATGCATGTGAAAGTTAGACCTTGAATAAGAAGACCAAAGAAGAATTGATGCACTTGAGTTATGGTGTTGGAGATTATTAAAAGTACCGTGGACTGCTAGAGGAACAAAACAAATCTGTGTTGAAAGAAGTACATCTAGAATGCTTTATAGAAGTCAGGATGGTGACACTTTCTCTCTCATTTTGTTGTTGTTGTTGTTAAGTGCCGTCGAGTCGGTTCCGACCCATAGTGACCATGGTTCAGACATATTACCAGGAGGAACCAGCCCCTGGAGAAGGATATCATGCCTGGTAAAGCGGAGTGTCAGCAAAAAAGAGGAAGACCGCCAGTAAGATGAAATGACACAGTGGCAGTAACAATGGGTTCAAGCTTAACAGTTATGGGATGGCACAGGACCGGGCAATGTTCTGTTCTGTTGTGCTAGGTTGCTGAGTTGGAACTGACTTGATGGCACCTAACAACAACAACATTTTCGTATTAGACTAATTTCTGAAGTCCCTTTTTAATATTCTTACCATATGTAGTAACTGTTCCTGTGCAGCATTAGTTGTCTTCAATTTACTTCCAGGGGAATTCAATATAGGCCTAGCAAGGTTATCAGAATCTTCGCTCATCAAAGAAACATAGTTACTTTGAATTTGTAGAGGGAAACGGTGTTTAACAAACTTTCTTGTGGACTTGCTCTGAATTAATGAATCTTCATAATGAGGATCAAAGAGACCAGACAAATAAATGTCTACCTTGGCCAGGTCTCAAGCACCGAGTTTGAGTTCTTAACACCCAATCTTGGGCAATACAGTCCTGGTGTGCACCATAGGATATGTACTTGACTGCTAAGCACAAGGTTGGTGGCTCAAGGCCCCCAGCTACTCCTTGGTAACCCTATGAAGGGTCACTACTAGCCAGAACTGACTCAGTGGCACTGACCAACACCAGCACCACCAGCTGGTACTTCTTCTCAGACAGAATATTCTGGAAAGGATAGAGGCGTTCACA